GAAATTAGATTTGGTATTAGAAAGTAAACGAGAGGAAATTAGAGAATGTTACGTCATTTACACCTCAGGCTTACCTTGGATTCGAAAGCCCAACAATGTCCGCAAGAAAACGGGCCAGGCCCAATTTGAATATGAGATTGAAGGTTTCTGATAGCGACTGACTGATTGTTAGTGTGGATCATGATTACTTAACAGAGACATGGGCCCCAGTATTTTGAAACAGTGAAAGCGATGGGCCCGCAAACCCAAATTAAATTGCCCGCCCAATGTCTGCGGAAAGGGTGACTGATATGTGACACGAACAACAACATATGTTGAGCAATTTTTGCTGCTTTCAATTTAAAAAATTTTCGTTATTTACAGTTGAAAATTTTAAACTCAATATATTTTATTTAGCTTTCACTAAAAAAAAAAACTTGAACAATATGTTCTTGTGGATGATAGGCTTATAGAGACTGGACCTACACCAAAATTACAAGGCTAAAAGCCCATATAGGACGGTCGGCAAGGCCCAATAGAATTTTAAAGACTATAAGCCCAGAGATAGTTGAGAAATTTACTCGATATGTTAACATATTTCTTCCAAAAATAGAGTTTGTTTCTTATTTGTTTAAAAAAAAAAAGTTTAATTAACAAGGCTAATTAAAATAAACACAGGAAAACCATTTTCTTAGTAGGATGTCCGATCAAATGATTAACTAACGATTATTTTTTTTTTTCCAAACGATAATCAAACTACATTAGAACTCAAACTAAGAGTACAAATGAGTAATCAAGAGATTACAAGAATCAACGCTCCAACGAGCAATACAAGGAGGAGTTAAACCCAATGGAGATAGGAACAATCCTTCACCTCAAAGCCCACAAGACCAACACACAAAGGCAGCAAATCTAGAAACAAAATGACGAGAAAAAAACAACTAACACCAACTAAATAAAATAACAAGAACAAGAATACACCAGAAGGTGGTACAAATCTTCAGCCACAATTGAGATAGTTGCATCAAAATTCTGTCTTTTGATGAGTTTATCAGCTAAATTCTTGTCTGACAGGGAGCAAGTGAATTGCTTCCATCCCAAGTTGATAGCATTAGGGGAGCAAGTGAACTGCTTCTGTTCCAAGTTGATAGCAGTAGGGGTGCACAAAATGTGGTGAACCGACCGAAACCGAATATTTGGTTCGATTTCTTGTTCACATTTTCTTAATATTTTGGTTTTCAGTTCAATTTTGATATAATCTATCGGTTAACCGAACCGAACGGAAAATCAATATTATACATATACGTTATAAGGGCCTGCCCTATATAATGATACTAAAATTAAAATTAATTGAACATCAACATTCCAACACCCACAAGCCCAATCCACCTACAGCCCACCCACCACCAGGTCCACCAAAAAGCATACCAAATCCAATCTCCCACATTTTTCATCTCCCTTGCCCATATGCCATTGACCCATAACCCATATAATAAGCTTTATAGATAAAGTTATTGTTTTTCAATTATAATTGATAAATATATATATTTTTATTGATAGCGATCAGATAGATATAATTATTTTAATTTACATATAAAATAAGAATGTCAAATTATATATTGTCACATTATGACTTATTTAAGTTATCGTATATTAAAAATGATAATATGTATAAATGTTATTGACTTTTAAAATATATTTACAATTTAAGTTATCCAAGCGTTTATATTTGGATATTCTGGATAAATATTCATATTAATATGTATGGACTATTTCGAATCCTTAGGAATTAATATATATAATGACAAAGCATTGGAAATTGACAATGAAAAACTATACATCTATCTATAAGAAGATAATCCATAAGAAAATGTTTATAAAATAACAAGAACAAAAATGATGACATTTAGGTTTTTTCTTAAATTAATAAATTATATTTCAAAATGACTTGTTTATTTCTTATTGCAAAAAAATGAAGGAAAAAAGATTGTAAAATATTTTTGATATATTTCTTAATAATAATAAAAACGTAAAATTATTAATAGGGAATCTCTCAACACCCGATTATGTCAATGATTTATATAATTATTAATATAAATATTTTGTGCAATATGGTTAAATATTTCTTCAAACTATTTTTTTTCCCTGACTCATGAAAATTTCTAGATCCGCCACTGAAATTGTGAGCTAAAAAAATCTAATATAGTGTTGGTGTTATATACTGAAAGCTTGGCTTTGGATGATATTTACACTTTTACCCTTTATGAATGAGAAACGTGTTAGATTAAACAAGTTCTACGTTCTGTTGTTTTGCATTAGATAGTGTGGGTCGTCATCGGGCGAACCGAAGATCATACCATCAGTTACTCGCAAAAAAAGAATAAATGGTTCGCAACCTAGATGGATATGAACACCCCATCAGAACGGTTGTAGTGTCAACTGTACAGTTTATCTTGACTGATTAGTTGAACTAGTACATTTATGTATTGAACAGGATCCCATAGAGGAGCAGTTCGTTTTATACTGATCGTCGTAAACGAACTAGGCCTTGGTTAATTATTGCGTGCTCTTAACCCGTAAGATATTAAACAGGCATATATGTGTAGTACTTATTAATTTGATTCACATGGGTGAGGCTTAGTGAACTGGGTCAATAGACCCGCTGTCTTGGGTAATATTGCTACATGTAGGATGTGTTGTTAGGATAGTTACGGTCACCATGTACGTTTAGTTTGATGATGTCCCCGGAGTGAGTTCATGAAGGATTATTATGCTAAACCCTGCAGGTGGATTAAATTCCGGCATAGTAATAATGTGATAAACAAGCGCTAGCTTCGGTGAAATAATAATAAATTAATTAATTCTTGATTGTCAGTAATCGAATTAATTAATGGACATTATATCTTAAACATGAGAAGATAAATCGAGTAATTATAATTGGAGGCTCAATTGTAATTTGGGCTAGAAAAAAGGAGTGCAATAGTATTATGTTGGTGGTCCATTTAATATTATTTAATCTATATATATATAATTACTAGCTAATGAGCATTTAATAAAACCTATTAAATTATACCTAGGTGGCAATATAATTTTTTCCCTCCAAAAACCGTTACTTTTTATTCATTTAACATCTCATTTAATTATTAGGTAATCAATACACTAATTACTTTAAAATTACAAAAATCATTTAAAATTTTCTAATTACTTGCAGTTGACCATATAATGTGTTGACTATTTAATATGAGTAGATGTTGTTGTTGTGGTTACATTTAAATTAACTTCTTTCGGAAAATAAAAAACATATTTGAAATTCCTAAATAAATAATACGTAATTCACAAAAAAAGATACATACCAAAATATACATTATATCCAATATGATAAACGCAATTTAAAAAATTTAAATAATTTCAGCTCTTTTAATTGTAAATTTAACAAAAAATATTAATCATTATATGTATACAAATAACTCACAATATTATTTATATATTTGTGCAAATGCACAGGTTGAATACTAG